TCATTGTATTTGGTTCTGCTTGTAAAGAGGTAGCTAAAAGTTTATGTTTGTTACAGGTGTCATTTTCCGAAAATGGAGTCAGTTGGAATGTTGGTGAACTCGTAATTTCCTTTTGCAGAACCTCAATGTAAAATGTACTAAAACAATTATGATATATTAGCAGCCTTATCAGCCGGGACAAAAACAAATTCCTTGGCGAGTTCTTTTAGCTTATGTTTGATACGAGAAACAGGGATAGTATGGTTGTTGTTATGAGTAAGATGTTCTTTAAAATGTTGTATACGTATATCAACTTTGTTCATTACTGAATTAAAAAAAGAATCTAAGGATTTCTTGTCAGCTTTTTCTCTTTTTATCCATTTTAGAGCAGTAAGTACGGAGTGAGTCGTGGATGATGTAACGACACTCATTCCAATTAATAATTGACGGGGGACGATATTTAGGTCCTTTAATGAGGAATGATTTCAACTATCGGTCTCGAACGATGTCAAGGTCTCCTGTTATAACATGGGAACTTGGGCCATCAATGTATTCGGAATTACTGCAATTTCATGACGTAGGTGTATTGTAACTGATATTTACATCTTTACACACTTCGCTGTAATCAAACACATATTTCCGGGTAGATTTTTTGTAAACTTAACAAATAAGAGGGAGTTTAGTATTATCAAAATAGCCATGAATTTGGTCTTTAACAGAATGATCATTACAAATACCGGCAATATTTACAAAATCAAAACCTTTATTGACATATTTAATTTTAATAAAATGTTTTTTTGTGATATTCAGGGCGATGAATTTTGGGAAACAGTTTAGAATAACAATATGCAATTATAATTTTGACGATTTCATACTTAGGACTGCAATATGGAATTGTGTTGCAATCCTCTAAAATTTGATGTAATTTATTAACAGGTAAAGAACATAGCTTGGTTAAAAGATAATGTCTTCCGTTGTTTTTTGAAATAGAAATTAGGTCCGAAATATTTGTATTGTTGGTACGAAATTTTCTTTGATTGCGATTTATTCTCCGCACATAAGAACAGTTTTTACGAACTGTTTTAGAAACTATATCCAAAATGTTAACAGAATCGGTTCTTTATATATTACCAATTCCCATGATATTATCATTAAGACCGAGAGGATAGACAGTCTGTAATTTTTTAATCCAATTTAATTCAATTATTTTCCGTGATCGTACAAACTTTGAATGAGATTCCCTAGGCTGCTTGTTAACTACTTCTAAAGGTTGAACTGTTAAATATTTAATAGAATGATTGTGCTTCTTAAAGTGTTGATAAATGATACTTTTGAATTTATTGGACCTTTTAAAACGATAAAAATGTTCTTGCGTGCGTTTAGATAAACATCGTCCAGTTTCACCTACGTACTAAATACCGCATCCCGGTTTGTTTCATGTGAGTAAATATATAATACTATTAGTTTTTCAATTGATATCAGTTTCAAAATTTTAGGAAAATATGCGACTAATACACGTGGACCTAGCCTTATGGTTGGTGGAAAGATCGGGACATGTAAGTCATTTTTTGGCATGACACTTATCTATAGAAGAGTAACCACGATTTTTATTATTAAAAATGTTAGCGATTGTAGTATTTTTAGATAAGCGATTTTGAAGATTGAGACATGTAGATACCCTTTGAACGAGTTTAGTATTAATTATTTTTCCATTTCGAAGTTTCATGATTTGTTTTCTTGTTATCCGTAATTCCAATTGAAAGAAGCAAAGAATGGCGTCCAGAATATGAACTAGCACACAGGAATAGAATAAAGTAAAAAAAGATAAAACTGTTTGGCCAAATAAGACGTCAAACGCTATCCGTCATCAAGTACCCGACAAAATAAATTACCAACAAAATTTGAGGACAAAAAACAAAAGACAGGGTATATCAGGGTAGCGCTTGACGTCTGACTAAATAGTAGAATGGGGCTGAAGAGTAAAATATTTGTTTTAAATAAATATTCCTAATTTAATGAACATAGAGAAGTTCTCGCCCGGACACACACTCAATTATCTAGTATATTATAAGAGCATAAACCTGAAGCACGGGGAGGCATTCTACTGTCTCCACACGGCACTAAAGACAAAACACTGTAAAGTATATATAAATTCCACAACTGCAATAGGTGTGTTACGATATTTATCCACTCGAGACAGTTAAATTTTAATATTAAAAGCGCGATGCTTGCCGACCTTTTAAAATAATTACAATTTAACTGTTGAGAGTGGAGAAATATCGTAATACACGAGTTACAGTGGTGGAATCTGTTTCTCTTATGATTTGTATCCTTCCTTTTCAAAGATGTGCAAAACGTTGTGTTCTTTATATGTGACGTTATCAGACATGGTCGACTTTTTTCATGACGTCACAATAGGAAATTCAGAAGGAACCAATAATATTTGACGTCATAATTACATTTAGACCAACCATTTGCCGCAACGTTAAACACCTCTAACGTTATGCGTCTCATCTAGGCTTTAAAATCATGTGTACATCGAAATTGAATTTTCATCTATTTGTGAAGGAATTAGGGAACACTATTTAATCAAACACAAATCTTTCTCAAATCTGGTTGATAGTTGAGTCATTGGCAATCATACCACATCTTTTTGTTCTTAAAATAAAATTATATATATAGCACGCTTATTTACGAAATATTGAATGCACAAAAGCATAGCTTGGGTGTTTTTGATATAGTAATGAATAAGGCATGGCGAGACATACTTTGTAATATGTGCAATACCAATATACGGTAGAACTGTCCAAAACTATTACACGTTAGACAAAATCTGTTCAACACTGCTGTTCTGAAAATCTGTTAAAAACTGTTATGCAAATGCTATTTTACGGTAGAACTATCTAAACTATTATCCGTTAGAAATTTACATGTACTAGTATACGGTAGAAATATCCATTATTATTATCCGGAAGAACTGTCCAAAACTGTACTTGTATAAAGCTGTCACAATCTCTTCTAGCTAGCTTTAGGTTAAAAGAACAAAACAATTGTTTTTAACGCGAATAAAACCAATGTATCCAAACAATGTCCAGCTTCTGATTTAAATTGTAACCCTGTGTTACTATAAGTTACCTTTGTAACAATTTGACAGGATTTGCAAATGGAGCCTGTTCTGATAAAATTAATTATGAATATAGAATAATTGATGGAACCTATGAAACCAATGTAACAAATGTAACCAAGCAATTTCACAGTTTCTAGTTTAAAATGTTACCCAGTCTTAAACTATAATGTAACCATTGTAACCTTTTAACTGGACATGAGATTGAAGCCTGTTCTGATAAAAGTACTAGTATTAGTTATTAGAAGTGAATGTAAGCAGTGTAACCAATTTAAAAAAGGAAGAAGCAGATTATTATTTTAAGAAAAACCATGTGTTACTAACTTGTAACCTTTGTTACAAAGTATCTGGACTTTGGAATAAAGCATATTTTGCAAAAAATACATACATGTATACATGCACAAGTGGATGTAACCACTGTAGCAAAGCAATTTTTCAGTTGTAAGTGTAACCCAATGTAACTATATTATAACCATTGTAATCCTATAATTGGACAAGGGAATGAAGTTTTTTTTATTAAAAACAAATACTGAAAATTATTATTTACAATGAATGTTAAAAATGTAAAAAATGTAGCCCGCAAATTTTCTCATTCTGATTTAAAGAGGAAACAAGTGTAACCTTTCAACATAATGTGAAAATGAAGCCTGTTTTGAACAAGAATTATTCTAATAAATATTAAAAGTGAATGTAGCCATCGTTACAAATATAAACGAGCAATTTTCAGATTCTAAATCATGTGTTACCAAGTGTCACCATAATGTAATCATTGTAATCCTTATACATGACATGAGAATAAAGACTGTTTTTGTTAAAAGTGAATGTAACCGATTTAACTTCGCAACTTGAAAGCTCTGGTTTTTGTTAGCGTAACCCAGTGAAACCATAGTATACCTGTAGTAATTATGTAACTAAACTTAAATGAGGCATATTCTAAATACTTATAGATATTTAAAGTGAATGCAAACAATGTTGCCATAGCTAACCTTCATTTGATTGATTCTATTTTTAGCTCACCTGGCCTAAAAGGCTAAGTGAGCTTTTCGCATCATTTGGCGTCCGTCGTCCGTCGTCGTCCGTCGTCGTTAACTTTTACGAAACTGCTTTCCCGAATTTGACCAAACTTGGCCACAATCATCATTGGGGTATTTAGTTTTAAAATGTGTGCGATGACCCCGCCTGCCATCCAAGATGGCTGACATGGTTAAAAATATAACATAGGGATAAAATACAGTTTTTGGCTTATATCTGTGAAACTAAAGCATTTAGAGCAAATCTGACAAGAAGTAAAAATGTTTCAGACGAATCAGACAACACCTAGTTAGGTTGGTGCCCCTGAATTGGTAAGTTTAAGGCAATTATTATTAGGGTATATAATACTATTTATTATGAGGTTAGCCTTATTTGAAATGATTTCTAAAACCACAGTAGATACAGGTGAGCGACACAGGCTCTTGAGAGCCTCTAGGTTTTCTAGTTTTGTTACTTTGTATTATCTTTCTGCTGTATTTATTGCATATTCTGATATTTTGATGTTAAGACACACTTAATGTATGCCCTTGTAGCTAAATAAATCGTTGCAGTGGACGTGTTGATAATTTAAATTAACGAAAAGTGAGATAAAGAACAAATAAAAAAAGTTACTTTGATTTATGGACCATTAATTTTCATTTGAATTCTGAAAAAAAATGATCTCGATTAAGACTAATATATTTATTTACTTCATTGTAGACATTGATATGATTTTTACCTTGATATTTAGGTTTGCCATTTATACAATTTACCTGTCGTCTTGTTGATGTCTCTTTTTACTAACTTGCCTAACAAGAATGCAGATGCTGTAATATCTCGCCTGCTTTACTTATAATAATTGATCACATACACATGATAAACTTACCATTGATCAATGATCCGTGACAATGAGGTCCAGGTCTGAAAAAGCAAGACATACAGACAATGTACACTTAACAATCTTTACACCCTTTAATATAGTTGACATATTATTAATAGTTTACAATATACTGACCAGAAATGAAAACTTAGTATAGACCATAAAAATAAGATCAAGGTCATATAAACCCTGCAAGACTGACATCTTACAATCATTAAATGCATCAAAAAGAGTTGACATAATGGCTCAAAGTATCTAAGAAACAGACTTATTAGAAAAAAATGCATTCAATTATAAACCATGACAAAGAGTTCAGGATTAGATGAACCTTGTCATATTGATATATGTTTGTTTTTCTACATTGGCTAGAGGTATAGGGGGAGGGTTGAGATCTCACTAAACATATTTAACCCCGCTGCATTTTTGCACCTGTCCCAAGTTAGGAGCCCCTGTCCTTCGTTAGTCTTGTATGATTTTTAGTTTTAGTTCATTTATTTGTTTTGGAGTTTAGTATGACGTCCATTTTCACTGAACTGGTACACATTTTTATTTAGGGGCCAGCTGAAGCCTACCTTCAGGTGCGGAATTTTCTCGCTGTTTTGAAGACCCTTTGGTGGCCTTCGGCTGTTTTCTGCTCTATGGTCGGGTTGTTGTCCCTTTGACACATTCCCTATTTCCATTCTCAATTTTATATATGTAAACCTTGCATTCATGCCATACACAACAAATAAAATAGAGAATAGATATAGGGAAAATACCAAAGAGAAAACAACCCAACCATAGAGCAGAAAACAGGCCAAGGCCGCAAATGGATATTCACCACAGAGAAAAAGTCCAGGACCCAGAGGCGGGCTTTAGCTAGTTCCTTAACAAAAACGTTTACGTGTTCATAATTGTATGAAATTTTTGATAACGCCTTCTACATATTTAACTTGAAACCCCTGGTTTACCTAGGCCTTTTGTTTGTGTCTTTCCGTCGTCTTGAATTTCGCCATTGGTTGTTTATAATAATATTTAATGTTTTTGGAAGCATTATATACTCGACGAGTTGACAATATATTTGCCGAAACATAAAAGATAACTTATAGTTTCACCAATTATATATACATTGCTTGCATTTTTCTTTAATAAAAACAATAAAGTCCTTTTCAGATCTGCATTCGATCTTCGTGTAAACATGTCCCTTTACAAACTTTATCTGATCACATTTGTAAACGTAACTTGAGAGTTTATTTCTCTTTATGTCTACATGTATGTATGTATATATGTATAAAACAATTAAGAACCAAATTATTGTCTAGGTTTTAATGTTTCGTTTAAATAGAAATAAAGGATGACAGGCATAAACTAGTTTTAGGATAATTGATAACATTGTAACAATAACATTATTTTCCTTATTTACATAGTAAAAAATTAAAACTGAAGGCAATTCATATACTAGCCGACTTTAAAAACGGCATGTATTGAGTTCTGTTTTGTAGCTTCTGATTTTGGATCCGTCCCATGCCTTATGGTGTGTTTAAGCAATTAAGCGGTTTAAACTTTAGTGCTTTAAATGTTTTTTCTGCAGTCGAATCTTTGGCATTTTTCAGTATATGGGAAACATTCTTGGCACGAATCTGTCTGCCGTGGCATTTGTCCACTTGATTAGCAGTTGATGTTGCGGCCGTAAAGATGTCTCGCAAATGACGTTACCTTATCAAATCTATTGACGTGGCATTGTCACTAACAATTGATCTATAATGGATGGTCATCAACAAATCCCGTCTGCATGTACCTTTGTTGTAAGGACAGTAAAACGAGTTTCGTACTTGAAATTGTCTGAAAACAGTATGTTCGCGAATTTCTGCATGCAATATTCTTATGATCTGATTCAGATTTTCATTGCTTAGTCACGGCAATATAGAGATGCATCATTTTTCTAATGATTCAAGTGTGGGTATGGATTGAAAGAAAAAAATCCTTAAAAAAATTATTTGTGGGTTTCAAATTTTCGCTTCATGAAATTCGTGCGACTACAATAATCCGGTATGTTCAATAACCGCAGGTAAGTCAGGTATTGAATTTTTCTAACCATAAAGAAGTATGGTAAGCATGAATATTAGTTTCATGAGGACCAATCATGATTTGGTTAAAAAATCATAAAAATGTGTGTTGCGTTTCTACAGTCCACCAGTATATGAACAAACAAGAACCTACCATAGATTTTATGATCGTAATTTGAACTCATGTGGATTGTTGTATCATTAGCAATATACCACATCTCATTATTTTGTATAGTATAAGATTAAACCTACCATTGCTTTTGCATTAGACCAAAGTTAGTATATTATTAATTTTAGGAATATTCACTAAAAGAGTTCATTTATTGAATTTTTCGTTTAGTTTAAATTACGTTTTGAAAGATATTACTTGTTTTAAACAAAACTAGGTATATCTTGTTCGAAGAATCTGAAAGTAAGTAGAATAGTGTCTTTTGTAAAATTGTCCATTCATGTGATTCCTAATAAACTTCTCAATTAATACATATATGTGGCAATTTGTTTTAAAAAAAACAGGCTTGATCAATTGTAATTTGAATTTTATTGAATAACCCTTTTAGACCACATGATATCATATATCAACTTCTGAATATTCATAATACGATTCGTGTTTTCAAGCACCTTTTATTTCATGCGAATTATACTTAGTACTTACAATAAAAGTTGGTTCGATATATTAAAAGCACAATGAGTGACATTTCCATTGAAAGAAAGCATTAAATTTATGACACAATTCCTATTCACATCTTAATTACCTGTCATATTTGTACGTGTGCCTGTTCTTTTAATTTAGAGCCATTTCTGATCGTGATTTTTTTTTAATTGAAAAAAAAAAACAATAAACAATGAAGCAAAGATTAAAGTAACGTGTTATTATTGCGTTTAAATGGAAATAGAAACAAACGAAGATTATTTCGAAATACCCATTTTACATTTGAACGTTATTATAATTTACAAAATTTATGCGGGTATGTAATTGTTTGAGAATTGTATTAATAAAATCAGCATATGCATATTAATATATTCACACTAAAAGCACGTAATATATAATCCTACCTGATAAAGTAGAGTTAAAAGATATTTTGTATTTTAAACCAAATAAATGATTCGAAGTCTGTTTTATCAATGATGAATACGATGGCTACAAAGGAGGTCTACTATAGATTAAAAAAACAGTTTATATATTACATATTTATGACAATCTGCAATATCTTGTTTCAATACATAAGGCTCCAATGATCATGTATAGTCTACGTGTAAGAACATTCCAAATGTTTTGTATGCACATATCATTCAGTAAGAATTAACATTTTGGTCATGCTTGTAAATACACCTGTCCTATTTCTTTAATTTAGAGCTATATCTGATCGGAGCTATGTTTTGTTTTGATCCTATTTATAATTGTTTCCGGATGGTTTGTATTCTTTATTTTAATTGGTAATCCAATAAACCATGAAGCAATGACCTAAGTATTGTACGGGTGTTATTGTGAAGGTAAAAAGAAAAAAGATACAAAACAGGATTTTCTCACTAAACAGGATAAAAGGTATAAGCAAACTTGAGGTATTGTGACTAACACTGTTGTTCTATCAGCAGTGTAAGTACCCAAAAGTTAATACATTGAGATAAAAAGAAAATTCTCTAAACATATACGTTATCAATCAGATTTAAAACGTCTTTTGCATTGAAAACCAAAGTTAGAATATGTTCCACTGACTGAGTCTTTATATGCGACATGTTAATTTTTCAACGTATCAGACGACTCATGTAAGCCACCAACCTTTATTCAGTAGAAATAAACACAAAACGTACATTCATATTTGGTTCGGTCAATTTAAAGCGCAATGGCTGAATTTTAAATTGTTGGAACAAAGAAAAGTTATCACATAATTCCTCTTCATATCTTGGACACCAGTCTTATTATTTGAATTAAGAGCTATATTTAATCGTAGGGTGATGTGTTGTTGTTACTGGATTGTGTGTACTCATATTCGTTTTTTTTTTTTATTAAACAATAAAAAAAAATATGAAGAAAGTGCAAAGTTTATTAAAAGATTAAAACTACGATTAACATTTGATCAAAGTTAGGACATAACTGATTGTAATGAATATTCACAGAAACAGTGCAATTCTTTAGACTTTTTCCTTTTGTTAGAAGTACGTTTTAAAAGTAATTACCGAATTTAAACAGAACTGGGTATATCTTGTTCGGAGATTCAGAGAGTAGGATGAATAGTGTCTTTTGTATAACTGTCCATTAGTGCGAGTCCTATTATACGTTTTTACTTTTACATATATGAGACAATCATTCGCTACTTGTTTAAAAAAAATCGAACAGGAATAAGCCTCTTTCGACCACTTGTCTACATAATTCAATTCGTGAATATTGCTCATATGATTCGTGTTCTCGAGCAACTTTCATTTTTTGAGAATTATATATAGTACTAACAATCATGTTTGGTTCAATAAATTTAAGAACAATACCTTGCATTTCCGTTGATGTTACAATTTCTATTCATATCTCTTACGTGTGCAGCGGGCCTATTTTTTTTATTTAGAGCTATATCTGATCGAAATTCATTCTTTTGATAAAACAATAACTAAAAAAAAGAAAAATTGTGAAGTAGTGTATAAGTGTTATTCGTGCGTTTAAATTGAAATAGAAAAAACGAAGATTTTACGGAAATACCCATTAAACATTTGAACGTCAAAATACTTTACAAAATGGCAGGTAAGTCATTACTTGAGTTTATTAATAATAACATTATCATACTATCAGAAGGTTGGTTCAGTATTTGTATATTAATCAATTCAGACTAAAAACACCTTATGTGATCATACCTGAAAAAACAAAGATAAACGTTCTTTTGTATTAAAAAACCAAAGTTTGGATCTGTTGAATTTAAAGGATATGCGCTGACAGGCGAGACATATGTCTGTGTCAACAGTTCATTTTAACAATTTCTTCTCTTCTGATATACATTTGCACATTTTATCCCATTTAATCTGTGGAATAATTTTGTGCATAAATTTTGTGTTGGAATAAACACCGTTATTAGTGCACTCTATAGTACAATTTTGGGGAAATTGCATCTGTCTCATGCTTCGAGCATACTAGACCTACCCATGTTAATGGAATAAAATCATCGACACCGTGAAAGAAAACACTCACTCTTAAATGATCCCAAAAATCTTACTGAAAATTTCACCAAATCAAACAGTCAACATTGTGTTATAATTTTAATCCCTATGAAAACAAGCAAACAAACAAATATGTAACAAAGAAGCACAAAAAGGCATTTAGACATATAAAAGACAAGAATACAAAAAATTACCTTAGCACAATAACACAATGGCTGGATGTATAAATACAGAGCCACGTCATGTAACGAATAAACACAAAAGGCATATAGACAAAGCACATTAGCAAAAGTCTTATATTTCAGGCTGAGTACAATCACATTCATTTTAACAAGCATATTGTAAGCAGACAATTGAATTTTTTCAGGTTTGGGCAACGAGTCTGTAGATTGTCACAGAGCTCATTTCTTATGGATCCCATAATTGTTTAAAACATTTATCAGTTAAATGGGTGCATTTCGATTCACCGTTAGCTTTCGCTTCTCATGTTGTTGTTAGGTATCAAATATTTTTTCAATCCGAACCAGGCATCTGGTGTCTAAATATGTATTGTTACACTTTGTAGTAAATGAAAAGGGTTAATAAAACATTCGAAAATGTGGAAGACACTTCCAAACAGCACCAGATCATTTGACATTGCAGGTTATAAAAGAAAATTGAGTAACTGAGATTAGGATAGCTCAATTCCAAGGTAAAACATGCTAAATCTTTTGAAAGGAAATGAACACAACAAAAACGTTAAAAAAAGTCAAGTACTAAAGATATCGTTACGTGATGTTTCGGCCTCGGACCAATAGCAAGGCTTTACAGAAATTTTCACGTAATAATATCATAGTATTGGACATACACCAGACCGTTGTTTTTCTTGTTTGAACTATTTTACATTATGTAAATTCAGTCCACTATACAGCATACTATAGATTACAGTTATGACCTACCGAACCTGACTTATGTTTTAGAGATGCAATCCTACGCCCTTATATCTGATGTGATGAAATGAAAGAATAGTTAACTGTTATAATAAAAACTGTGATACTGGTTTCGCTAGAAATTATAACATGTGTTCAAATGTTATGTAGTTAGTTTTGTATTGCCTATGATAGATGTGTAATTGACGAAGTCGAAACTGAAATCGCTGTAATATTCATAATCAGTCTTACAAAAATTACTGATAGTATTATTTATGATATATACGATCTTCGCAGCAAGGAGTTTTTTACATTTGCTAGATAACTTCTTCATGTGTTTGACAAAAGCAAATAACATCTATAAATCAAAGTACTGAAGTACTGAACATCGGATGACTGAAAGTTCTGGTGGATGGTCTCAAGCACTTGTCTCAGAAAAAAATCACATCTGTATACCTGAAAGTTAGGTTAAGGTAGATAGATATATTTTTTCTGAGACAAGTTCGTGTGTGAATGATGAATAAATGACAGGGAATTCAACCTCACCGTAATAACTATCCTATTGTAGTGATATAATTATTTGATATCAGTATACTCTGGTTTGTTGTTATATATTATATTTATATTTGTATAATAGTTATATAAACTTTTCATTCATTTGTATATCATTCTATTCTACTCTTCTAATGATAAAATATAGGCAAAGATGAAAAGTATTTAATATTCTCGAAATCGCTCTGCGTCAAAATTGACAAGGAAATTCATTTATGTTTTAATAAATTAATTTGGAGTACTTGCCATTCAGGATCTGTTTTATCATTTAAATAGCATATATATAATTTATTTATTCTATTTCTATAAATATATTTTATGTTGATTTAACCTCTCGGGTGTAAGGAGGATTGGTTGATTGAGAAATCGTTGATTGTTTAACGTCCAGTGGAAAATATGTCATGCATATTCAAGACGAGGACATATTAACAACAAATACAATATGTAGGTTCTGTAATAGATGGCGTCTGGCATGAAGGTCAAGGACATTTTGACTGTCAATAAAAAATGAGGGTATATTGGATATGGACTTAAATTTTGCTTTGCAACAGGCTTCCTACTGACTCCTCAAAGAGTTGTTGCAAGGGTTATTAATGTGCAGAGAGCGTGCTCCAGGCGAAAGCTAATTAAATACATGGCTTTCGTGAAAAAATGAAGGTAGGGGTTTACTCTGCTAGGGTCTCTTGTAAACCTAGACCGACTTGGTAGTCCAATAAGAATACAAAAACATATGGATATTTTTTTTAAAAGAAGATATTCTGCTTTGCAAAACGAAGAAACATGCAAAAGAATATTCTTTCTGTATACAAATGTGAATGTAAGAGAAAATAGTCTAATGCACATAAATAAAAATAAGAAATAACTGAAGAAACCTTAATAATACAAAAAAGTACACCGTCCATATATCTGAGTTTGTTTTGTTTGCGGGGGTTAACATTATAAATTAACCTGCGCTGTTTTTCAAAATTATACAAAATGAAGGAATGTGACCTTCAAATTGTGTACGAAGCTCTAGAAATATTATGTTCATAAATAAAATAAAACTGAAAATTCTATATCAACTGTTTGTTTTGATAAAACAGGTGCTGGTTTAATATAAATTTAAAACAATTGACCGAAACAGATTTTTCGTATTTCAGACAATAATAGAACAGTATTTGTATGAATTGAACACCTAAATTAAATATGATTTTATGTACATTATATGCAGGTACAGATGCACCAATACGGCAAACAAAATGTAAACCGCAGCCTACTCTTCAATAAATTTAAATACTACGTTTTCAACAAATTTCAAGTCTTATATCATGCTATAGTTGACTTTCTAATAACTATGATAACAGAAAATATGTAAGTTATAAATAACACTACCTTCTGTCACAATTTATTTACTTAAGAAATCATTAAAGCAAAATACAAATGATTGTGTAGGTGGCATTTGTACGTTAAAATGGATATAAAACTAAAATTTTTACGGAAACACCCATTTCGCATATGAATCTTAACCGGATAAAACTATATATGTCCTGTATATACATAATTTATATAT